GAGTAGAGTAGAGTAGAGTAGAGTAGAGTAGAGTAGAGTAGAGTAGAATTCTTTTATTGGCCAAGGGTGACTGGACACACAAGGAATTTGTCTTGGTGCAAATGCTCCCAGTGTACATAGAAGAAAAGATACATTTGTCAAGAGTCAAGAATCATCAGGTACAACACTTAATGATAGTCATAGGGGACAATAAGAATAGAATAGAAGAATATAGGAATAGAATCTAAACAGAATGGGATGGGATGGGATGGAACAGGATAGAGAATAGAATAGAAATTAGAAGAGAAGAGAATTCTTTATTGGCCAAGGGTGATTGGACACACAAGGAATTTGGCTTAATGCAAATGTTCTCAGCGTGCATAAAAGAAAAAAGACGTTTGTCAAGAGTTGAGAATCATCAGGTACGACACTTAATGATAGTCATAGGGTACAATAAGCAATCAAATCATAGGAAACAGTCAGTATAAATCGTAAGGATATAAGCAACGAAGTTACAGTCCTACAGTCACAAGTAGGAGGGGATGGGTGATAAGGAGTGATGGGAAGATGAATAGTGATAGTAGGGCAGACTTCACTGTTAAAGCCCTTGCGATGTAAAACATTTGTCTTTGATTTTCAGATCCTAAGAAAACGGCCAGTCGCCCCACCAGCCGTGCAGGCAGCCACGCAGGGAGCCGAACCAGCAGCCGGCGAGGCAGCGATGCCTCCGACTTTGATCTCCTGGAGACGCAGTCCGCCTGCTCAGACACTTCGGAGAGCAGCGCAACAGGAGGAGGAGGAGGAGGAGGAGGAGGACAGGGCGGCTCCCGGCGGGGCCCAGCCAAGCCCTCCAAGATCCCCACCATGTCCAAGAAGACGAGCACTGCCAAATCTCCCGGCCCCAAGAGATAATGCGGCACCCACGGGAGGCCCAGCTTTGCACAGACAACAGAAACCTGTGTCCAGTTTTTAACCCTGCTTCATACATTGGATGTATATTTATTCTACATGGGAGAAATTATATTGTTAAAAGTGTAAAAGAAAATTGTGTTATGAAGCTGCCTTATTTGGTTCTCTCTTTTTTTTATAGGTTATTTTTTTTTTCATGTGAATATTTCTGTAGATAAAACTTGCCTTCTTTGCAACGGGGGCCCCGGGGAAAACTGAAACATGGGAGAGAAGCAAAAGGTCAAGATGTGAAAATGTAAAAACAAACAAATGATATAAATAGGATTTCTGTGCAGTGCAGGAGATGTTCCTGCATTGTCTTTTAGGATTGTTTCCTAAACGCATCTTTATAAAAAAAAAATAACGTGCTGTTTCAGCAAGAGAAATTATATGTAAGAGCAACATCTGAAGATCCAACGTAAGAAGGGAACTTGCTTTTCTTTCTCTCTCTCCTTGTTAAATCACAGATACCTCAATAAGAGAGAAATGCACGGTGAGGGAATTTGTTTCCAATTTTAAAGATAAATTCCGATGGTTTTACCTGAAGATAGCTTGAAAATGGACCTTTGCACATGCTTTATTTAAATAAGGAACTCCACTACAATACTGTATTTTGCAAAAGGAAACTCCTGTCAAGCTGTCAAAGAATAACATTTGGGGGGAATTACAATGGCAGAACCATTGTAGGGAGGTAGAACCGTGTGGTTTTAGCAGCGAGGGGGGTGGGAGGATCTTAAATTTGCTCCTGTTTAGCCACAAGATAACCCATTTCCCAAAGGCAAACCACGAGTGAAAGAACTGACTTTACGTTTTACGTTTTAGTTCACAGACTGCAATTAGGTGGCTTTCTTAGGCCGGTCTGGGCCCCTCCGGCCACCAGGACCCCAGAGAGCCTCTGCTCTGGAGCAGCCAGCTGCCTTTGAAACCCACCACACCCACCGCCACCGCCACCACGTGCTCTTGGGGAGGTGGAGAAGCATCACCAGCAGACACCCCCCCTCCTTTGTGGAGGAAGAGAGGGACCACCCTGCAAAAGGGGCTGGGGGGTGACCTGGTCTTCCTGTATTTATTCACTTGTACTCTCGTCCCTGCTCAGACTGACCACAGTGCTGTGTGATTCTCTCAGTTGGTTTAATTGAGCCAGAACCGGAAGCTCTACCAATGAATTGTTTAAAAACAAACACGTTTTGTATTAAAATTGCTTGCAGTAATAAAAGTGAAGCAAAGTGTCTCTTATTTTATGCTGCCCAGGAAGTTGACAGGGGCCTCCCTGTCCTAAGGCTGATGTCTGAAGCACCCGCTGAAGTGGGACGGCCGGGTTGCCCAGGCTGATGCCAGGACCAAGCTTAGACCCACCACTCAGATTCTTCTGCTTGTGCCTGACTAGCGCCTTCGAAGGGCTGCAGACCCGTACTTAATCGGCGATTAAAGCGTTCCTGTTCCCCTAGTCAGAAGGCAGTCGCCTTGGATCCAGCCAATTCCTGAGAAGGCGTGGCACCACCTCAGTTTCTCCTGTGGCCAACAGGGGCAGCACGTTGCCACGCAGGCCACTTGGGCGGGGGGGGTTGGAGTAGGTCCCTCCTCCCCCAAGTCCCATGTGCATCACCCTCAATTACCCTGGGCTCTGTGTGCTGCAAGCATGTGGCAGCAAGGTGGAGAAGGCCACTTCCCGGAGGGCTTCAGGCTGGCACCATAAGAAAGTCAGTTTTGCCCCATTTTGCACACCCCCTTGCCGTGGTTGTTTGGCGAATCACTGCAATTGTTAAGTTAGTAACTTTGGAGGTTATGTGAAGCTGACTTCCCCACTGACTTTGCTTTCTGCAACGGTCATAAATACGAGTGGGCTGGCAGTGGGCTGAATTTTGATCACCTGACCGTTCACGTGGGGATGCTGCCACAGCCATAAGTGGGGGAAACAGCCATTGGTCACTAAATGAACATTTTTAAGTCAAGGACCCCCTGTGTATCCTGCATGATGTTTTCATCCAACAGTGGCCACCAGGCGGCACCACCACCACTTTTGTCCTATTTGGGACTCTTCAGAGGCCTGGAGCAGCTAGACACCCTTCCTTCCTTCCTTCCTTCCTTCCTTCCCTGACTGAGGGTTTAAGAACCCACAAAGTCTTCTGCCACCTCCGCTTCCTGACTGTAAAATAAAACAACCCACGACCACCAAGTGGCATATCTGCTCCATGCATGCATGCACGCATCTGATGGCCCCCTCACCTTCTTCCTAGATGCTTCCAAAGAGGGGGAACCCCCACTCTGAGCCCTTGGTTCTGGTCTCAGACTCCGGGGGTTTTCCCCCCTCATGTTCGCTTGGGGCCACGGCCAACCGGTCACTCCTTCTCCTGCACTCTACAGATTAGTTTCCAAGTTCCTTTCATGGGTGTGGAAAGTGGTGCTGCAGAACTGCAGCCATCTTCCCTCCTGGTTAAAGTGGCTACAATTCCTTTCTGGCTGCTCTGCTCGGAACACGCCAGTCTTCATGAGCTCTTCCAAGCCTTGAGGAGAAAACCTGCTCCAGGATGCTGACCGGCAGGGCTGACCAGCTTACTACTAGGCAACGTTTCCACCAGCTCCCCTTGAACAGATGCTCAGTTGTGGCCATTCAAAAATGGTCTTCGTCGCCTACATCTGCTACCTTCCCATTCAGTGGGCAACTGAGAAATGTTAACCCTGGACATTTCCCATTAGCCCATTCCCCCTTTCGACATTGGGAATTAATATGGCCTGTTGCAGCAGTGACTCCCGAGTTTGCAAGCAAAACTAGCCGAGTGAGTTATCTAAGTGTGTGGTCAGCGAGGTGTCTAGGCTCTCCTGCCTCTCCAACATTTAGTTGAGTTTGGGGGAGCAGCCTCAGCCGGTCCAGGCACCTCCCCCATCCTCTGCCTGGGTGCTGGAGCCAGTTTTGCCTTTGCTGCTTTCTCTTCCATGCTTTCTCCATGCAAGCAACTCACAGGCCGGCACAAAGGTCAGCCGGGTTCACGGAACATGCTCAGCCAGCCGCTGGATGCCCTTCCCTGGTTCCTCCTCCTGAGGGCCACTTTTAACTGCAGGGCACTTGAGGCCCTGGCGGCAGGAGGATCCATCCAGGGGGGCTTCCATTTCGCACTGACTTTGATTCAGTGCCATCAAGTCGGGGTCAGTTCTTAGCAACCAGATAGATACAGATTTTCTCCAGGCGGTTCCGTTCCCCAACTTGGTTCCGCAACGGTGCCCTCATTGCCACCATAACTGAGTCCGGCTCTGCTGCGGGCCCTCTTCTTTCCCTCCCCTTTCCCCGCCCTGGAGCTTTCTCCAGAGAGCCGGCTCTTCCCATCCTAGGCCCAAAGGAGAAGGGTGTGAAGCTGGTTGCTTGTGCCTCCAGGGAGGCCTCTGGGCTGGTGGGTTTGATTCGGTCTGTTTTCTTGGCTGTCACACAGAAAGGAACAGAAATCATGTATTTCAATCATTGACCAAACAAAGTTTTCCTCTCACATCAATGTCTGGGGGCAACCATGGATGGGCAAAGCTTGTACATAAGGTAGCAGAGCGGCTACTTGTCAGAGAGGGTTGTGCTGGTTGCCTCATAAGAAATGCAGATCAATACTCTTCCTATCCTTCTCTTTCCAAGTCCATGGAGGGAAGGAAGCAGCGCCTTCCTTGCTGCCCAACTGTAAGGCATCCCAGGACCTCAGTGGGGAGATCAGGGAGGGATGGATTTCTCCAGCCCAGAAAACTACAAGAGAAAATTGGGAAGCGGCTCAGGCAGGTGCCTCGCTGGTTCGGGCACAATCCCATTTGGAAAAGTCGGTTACCGCAGCCAAGCTCAATACAAATCGATTGGGGGAAGTGGATTTTCTGGTCTGGGCAGCCCATTGAGAGGGACACCCGCAGGCGCCGCTCGGGCCCTGAACCTCCCGGGCGCGTTGGGTTGCCGGCTCCTCACCGCCCTCGCTCAAACGGCCCCCGGGGAGGCGGAGCGGGGTCGGGAGGCGCCGGAGCCACTTCGACGAAGCGCGGGACTTGTCCGCTTGCTCCGCGGACGGAGCCTCGAGGGACGGCGGGACGGACGGCGGGATCCGAGGCATCCCGATTCCGGCAGAGGGCAGCTCCGGGGCTGCGCTCCAGCAGGGCAGAGCAGGGCGAGGGATCCCGGCTGCCTCCGGGGGACGGCAACTCCCCGCCCTTCCCGTTCGCCGGGGCCGTCGGAGCTGAAGCGGCGGGCGGGAGGCTCGTCCCACGTGTGCGGCCGCAGCTGGAGGACGAGGCTGGACGGCGGAGGCCGAGGGGCAGGCGCCGCGACGTGGCAGGGAGAACGCCCGGCTGGGCGGCCTAGCCGCGGCCCCGCCGTCTCTCTCCACTTGCCCGCCGCCGCCGCCCAGCGCATCCCACGAGCCGGGTCGCCTGCCGCCCCCGCCGCCCGCTTCCAGGGCCGGCCCGACGGCTGCGGCGCTCCGACCCACCTGCGCTGCGCGGCCGCCATGCGGCTCTCGTCCGGCCCGGTGGCGGCGGCGGCGGCGCTGCTCCTGATCGCCGCGCTGCTGCCGGCCTCCCATCCCCGCCAGGCCCTCGCCCGCCGCCCGCCGGCCCCGCCACCCGCCGCCCCGCGACGGCTGAGCGGGCGCGAGCTTCAGCACGAGGTGCTGGCGCTCCTGGGCCTCCCCGGCGGACCCCGCCGCCCGCCGCCCTCGCCCCGCAAGACGCGCCCGCGCCGTCCCGCCCCGCCGCCCGCCGCCGCGCCGCTCTTCATGCTGGGCCTCTACCGCGCCCTGGCCCGCCAGGACGACGCCGAGGAGGGCCCCGCGCCGAGCCGGACCGCCGACGGCGCGGACACCGTCATGAGCTTCGTCAACCTGGGTGAGTCCCGTCGGGCGAGGCAGGCGCGCGCGGCGGGTTTGGGGGGCCGCGCGGGACGGCCGCCTCTCCTCGGAGGGACGGCCGGTGCTGGAGTGCTTCGGCAGGGGCAGCGGGGGCCAATGCTCCGCGAGGCTTCCTTTCCCGGCAGGGCCTCGTCTGGAGCAGGCAAGGGGTCCGAGGGAAGCTCTCCGGGGCGCGCCGGCCCTTCCGCCCTGCCCAGGAGGAAGCCCGAAAGCCGGGCAGGTGCAGCCTCCGGGGCCCCTGGGGGTCCGCGGTCCCCGCCTCGCAGCCTGCCGGATGGAGGCCCGGGCCGGGTCGCTCCCTGGGAGCTCCGGGCGCAGCCCCTCCCCAGGCGGCGCGGGGGGGGGGGGTTGTGTTGCGCAGCCCTTCCTGGGTTCCCCACTTGGCGGAAGGGGGGCGGAGGTGGCCAGGCGGGGCCTTTGCTCCGCCGGGGCTAAGAGCCGTACGGACCCCGCGGAAAGGGGGCGGCTGATTCTCCAGTTGGGGGCGGAAAGAAAACCCAGAGGACCGAAGGGAGGATCTCACAAGTGCCCCGCTGCTCACTGCCCGAAAGGCGGCGGCTGTCGCTCGGGGCCTGCGCTGGGTGGCTCTGCGCGGGCTCACTTGGACCGCCGGGCAAAGGCGCCTCTTTCCCACGCCGCCCAATTGACGGCAGCGGCCCTCAGTGGCAACGCCATTTGGGCCCGCTGAGGATCGGGCGCGGCGGGGCCCATCAGCCGCCCAGCCCTCCTTTCCCTTCCGGCACCTCTGCCCTCCCCCTGGGCGCTGCCTTCCCTCCAAGCGAGGGGAAGGGGGGCTCCTGAGCCCCGCGGGAGGCTGGCTGGCGGGGGTCGCAAGGGGAGGGAGGTGGGTCCCCCCCCCCAATCCTCAGCAGGTGTAAGCAGCCACCTGAGGTGACTCTGGCCAGCCGCGGAGGCTGCAAGCGGAGCGGGAGCGGAATCTGGTCGAGCCTGTTCCCGCCCTGCCGAACTGCTGACTTACTGAAACTCACCGGGGCAATCCGGGAAGCGCAGCTGCTCCCTTGCCAGCCTCCCGTCTTGCGCTGGCTGCGTTTCCCTGCGGATCCTCTCGGGCAGAGCCCCCCCACCCTCCCGCCATCCCCCCATGAACTGGGTTCAGCCTGGTGGGAAGGTGGGGGGGGGGCGCAGAGCCAGGGTCTCCGCAGGGCCGGTTGTGTCCCTCCAATGCACAGATGGCAACGGGGTGGGTGGGTGGAAGGTTCCAAAGTGCCACTGAGAAGTTAATAAAAGCCCCCCCCCCCCCCCTGGCTGGGCTGAGAAGGAGCCTCTTGCAGGGGGTGTGGTGTGGATGTTGGGGGGGGGGCAACTCTGACCTGCTGTCTCCAGAAGCAGGACTGGGGAGGGGGCTGCAATGGGCTCTTGCCTGCTACTTCTGCAGAGGATGGAGGGTGGCCCTGCCTGCTAAGGGGGGAGCAGCCCCCTGGCCTGTCCCAGCAGCTGATCTGGCTGGTTTCAGCTTAGGCAGCGCCAGGCTCTGAAGTCGTGGGGTAGCCAGACCTTCGGGGGTGGGGGAGTTGTGCATTGCCTGGGATTTGGGGAAGGGGGGTCTGGGAACTAGCAAGCCTCTTGCAGAGCCCCGGGGCTTCAGGACTGCTTGGCCCCCAGCCCAAGGGGAGGGCCACAGAGGCCACCACCGGGCACAGGGCCTTTGCCCCCCCCCCCCCGGGGAGAAAGGGCTCACTTGGCGGAGGGTGAAGGCAAAGGACTGGCCCTTGACTGGGGCCACTGGGCCATGCTGGGCATCACTGACTCAGTGGAAATATTGCTGGGAGGGGGGAGGTCCTGAGTGTATCAGATTTTTCATAAATCCAATTTCCTCCCCAACTCAGCATCTGAATGGTAAAAAGTGAACCATCTCTCTCCTTTTATCCAGTCTGTATGTATAAAAGACGTGTCCCAATTCATTTACAGTTAACACTTGATCAATTGTTGATTAAACGATTAATCATTAGAATGGACTGCCTCCATCACCGGAGATGTTTAAGAAAAGACTGGACAGCCATTTGTCTGCAATGGTGTAGGGTCTCCTGCTTGTGCAAAGGGTTGGACTAGAAGACCTCTAAAGCGGGGATCCCCAACCACTACTGGATTGTGGCCCATTTGGAACTGAGCTGCACAAGCAGCGGGCGATTCTGCATGCACGGCTCCACTCCGCCTCTGCCTCCCTCTCTAACTGTGCTGAAACAGGCTAATTCAACTGGCCAGCCACCTCCAGGCCTCTCAGAATTGCTCTGTGGCTCTTAAAAAAAAATTTTTTCCCCCGGGGGGGGGGGGGGGGGCAGGAGGTGCGAAATAAAGCCACCTTCCAACAATAGCAGGAAAAGAACCCGGGTGGGGTTGCTTCCAGATTCACTGCCATCACAAACCGATCTTCTGAAACGAACTTTTTGCTGAAGTCCACCATGCATTGTCCTGTGCTCCAGTGTATAAATTAATTTATTTTAGGATTATTTGTGACTGTTATTTCTTTCATTCATTTATATTTTGCCTCCTCTTAGCAAGAAAGTCTGTTCCTTTTAACAATTTAGAATGTTATATTCCTCATTGGCTTCAATGGAGTGTTAGGGAAGATGTATGTTCTAATATTTCATTAAATTATGAAAGTGACATTTGCAAAAATAAAAATCTTACTAATTTTGCATTAGTTAAAAAATAAGTCTGTCCCCTATTTATGGCATTGCAATGATTTTTTTTTTCTGGAGCAAACCCCAAAAGCAAAACCAACCAACCAACTCCCACCCCAAGTAAATTCTGGCGTATTTCTCTCCATCTGCAACTCTTAGTGTGCACATCAAAGCAACCACAGAGCAGGCTTGCCTGTGGTGACATCCCAAGAGGGAAACATTGTTCTTGCGTCAGAAAAACAACAACATTTTAAACTTAGGATGCCCGTCAGTGGCCTGGATTTTCAATGGACATGGCAGCTGCATGGTGCTGCCCATCTCAGCCACAAGAACTGCAGAAACCCAATGCCAAGAGGAAACTGAGGTTGTCTTCTGGGAGCAGCTTTCTGTCCACGGAAGATATTTTTGGGAAATGAAGAATGTTGGGGAGCCACCCAGTTTAATAGCTTGCTTATGTCCTGGTGAGCTGGGCCTTCCAGGAACAAGTTGGCTTGACTTTTGGCCACCTCACTGTCTTCAGTGGAAGGTCCTCTGAGGAAGGTATTCCTATGTTGCATTTGCCCGCCCAAAAGGTGCTCAGCTGGGGCAGCTGTAACACACACACACACACACACACACACCTTTTGCAAAACCATTAGATCTCCTGCCTGGCTCAGCTGGGCTGCCCAGTTCCCAAAGGTTGGTGCTCTTGCCCGAGATAGGGAGGTTTTCCTGCCCCCAGCATTCAGCCTTCACTCAGCCAACTCCTGCTCAACGCTTCCCTGCCCCCCCCCACCTCCCCCCCGCCCCCCCGCAGCATATCTCCTTCACACACAGGCCCCTCGGAGCCCCACTGAGATTCATCCGTTCTGACTGCCACATTAAACCAGGTGAGAAAGCAAAAGGTCCATTCGGATCCTCCATTGGTTTTGCCCCCAGTATCCAGCTCGAGGGGGGCTGCATTTGGCCATCCTGAGATTCGATTAGAATAAGGTCTCCTGCCTTGGGCTGGACTGGATGACCCCCCAAGGTCCCTTCTAGCCCTCCTCACTTTCCTTTTAGCCCTCAAGGGGCGTCTCTTTTTTCCTCTGCCATTAAAGAGCCCCTTCCCTTGAAATGAGGGAGGCCTCTGATAGTGTCCCTCCCCTCCTCCTCTTCCTCCTCTCTGCACTTGCTGCAGGCCTTCCTTGGTGGGGGTGGGGGTGGGGGTCAGGTCAGAGAGTCCCTCCCTTCACAGGGCTGCTTGGGAGGCATCTGGCAGCAGAGCAGAGCAGAGCAGAGCAGAGCAGCTCCATTCAGTCACTCAGACTAGAGCTTTGATCTAACAGATCCTGGAGATCTCCTAGTCCATCCCCCTGTTCACGCAGGAGAACCTGTAGCACTCCAGGCAGATGTTTGTCCGGTCTCTTCTTAAAGGCCTCCAGTCATGGAGCGCCCAGGAGGCTTCTGGAGGGACGCTGGTTAATTGTCTTCCCCGCGAGGAAGTTTCTCCTCAATTCCAGGTTGCTTCTGTTCTTGATGAGTTTCCATCCATGGTTTCTTATTTTATTATTTTATTTATCGATTTGTCAATCACTTACAAAATAATAGGTATAAGTATAAACATGAGTAAGAATACAGAAAATAGGTACAATTAAATGGGGCCAATAGGACAGGGACGGTAGGCACGATGGTGCGCTTATGCACGCCCCCTGACAGACCTCTTAGGAATGGGTATTCTCTCCCTGCCTTTCTCTCCTCCCTCCATTCTTTTCTCTCCTTCCTTCCTTCCTTCCTTCCTTCCTTCCTTCCTTCCTTCCTTCCTTCCTTCCTTCCTTCCTTCCTTTTCCCTGTTCTCCTTCCTTCCCCCTTCCTTCTTTCCCTCCTTTTATTTATTTATTTGATTTGTCAATTGCTTACCAAATAACAGGTATAAGTATAAACATGAGTAAGAATACAGAAAATAGGTAGGATTAAATGGGGACAATAGGACAGGGACCAGGAGGCACGATGGTGCACTTATGCACGCCCCATTACAGACCTCTTAGGAATGGGGTGAGGTCAATAGTGGATAGTTTGAGGTTAAAGAGTGGGGGTTAGAGGATGTAGTGCATTCCAGGTATTGACCACTCGGTTGCTGAAGTCGTACTTTCTGCAATCAAGTTTGGAGCGGTTAACATTGAGTTTGTATCTGTTGTATGCTCTTGTATTGTTGCGGTTGAAGCTGAAGTAGTCATTGACTCGTAGGACATCGTAGCAGATAAGTTTGTGTACTATGCTTAAGCAGGGGTGGGATTCAATATTTTTAACAACCAGTTCTGTGGACGTGGCTTTGTTGGTGGGCATGGCTTCCTGATCATGTGACTGGGTGGGCATG